CATACTATATGACAGCCTATTATTTTTACTAGTTGATCGGAATAATTGTGTACAACATCTATTATATAATTGGATATTTTTGGTTTAATATTTTTTAGAGGTGTATTAAAAATGAATTCGATAACGTCCTCATCTTCATCATCACTACTTGATAAAAAATATAAAATTGCAGCTTTCTTTGGCTCATTCATATTTTAATTACAAATTCCCTAGTATATTTATACGAATTTATACTTAATTGTCTTAATTTAACAATATTAAAATAATGAATATTATATAATATATTAGGTCATTAGGACAATAGGTTTCAAATATCAATGTTTATTGTTTATTTGTTTATCAGAAAATTAAATAAAGTTAAAAGATGTAAAAAGATGTATAATCAATAAAAGATAAGGTGCACCGTCATGAAGAGCTCGTGCGATTATCACTGCACCGAGGGCATGAAACTGGCCGAGTGCACGCATATGGAACATAAAAATCTGCACTAGTTGTGCTCTGATATTTCATATGAAACATAAAATAATTGCACCAGTGCAATAGTGCAGTCATGTGGAAAACACTATTATAGGTTCTAGAATCAGTACAACTGCAGACATTGGGAAAATGTAGTGTGTGTTGTCTTTTAATATGGTGCTGCACATGCATATTTTGCTGATTTCTATGGGGTGCTATAAATATTATTAGGTATACATAGTATATTGTTGCTAAAGAACTTAAGTTCCATTTGGGTTATTAACTATGAGTATACAACATTTTTAATCACATAATATATTATACCTTATATATTTCCACTCAATTTTTAATAATGTTAGAATTTATAAATTATGTTAGAACCAATAAAAACATTGAATTGCATTCTTTATATTTGTTTTTATTGAATAGTAACGCCTAAAATTAATAAAGGTTCAATGAGAAAATCATCAAATGTTTCATCACGTACTCGTAGGAGAATTATTCAGAATCAAAATCAAGATGCAAAAATGGCCAATAATTTAGTTCAGTCCTCTGCAGACAACTCATTTAGAGCACCACTTCATGTGACACATAATGTACCTGCAAACTCATTTATCCTTTCTGATAACACTGATGACACACAATTTTCTGACAATAGCTTATTTGTTTCTGATAATAATGTTGAAACACAAGTTTTTAACAGCAACTTTTTTCTTTTGGATAATCATCATGTCAATAACGTTTCTACTGCTACATCTCTACTATTTTCCTCAAATTTTGAAGCACTCACAAATGTTAATAATAATAATAATAATGTATCTATTCAATCTGAATTGAAAGAATGGGCAATTAAATGTAAAATAGCATAATGTAATTTAAATGAGTTATTAATTATTCTAAGAAAACATAATGGTTTTGGGTATCTTCCCAAAGACTCGAGAACTCTTCTTCAAACTCCTAAAATCAACACTGACCAAATTCGCCTTGTCAATCCACATGGAAAATATTTTTATTTTGGCTTAACTAATTATTTACTTAATCATTTTTCAAATTTAAATTATATTCCAAAAGAAATACAGTTAGTTATTGGTGTTGATGGCCTTCTGATATCTCATAGTAGTAATAATCAACTTTGGCCAATTTTAGCATATGTTAATCCTGATAATTACACACAAGAAAAAAAGGTATTTCCTATTGGTTTATTTTGGGGTAAAAGTAAACCAACAGATAGCAATGCATTTCAATATGATTTCATAGTTGAAGCTAAAATACTATTATCTGATGGCCTAAAAATTAGTCAAATAAATCAGCCAATCCCTGTAAGCATTTTTGCTATATGTTGTGATGCACCGGCTAAGACATTTTTAACAAAAACAAAAAGGCATACCGGACTTGCTTCTTGTTCAAAATGTACACAAGAAGGTGTGTATTTATGTAATTGTACTTGTTTCCCTTACAAAGATAATTTGCCATCTTTGAGAACTCATGAAAGTTTTGTTTTAAGAACCCATGATGATTATCATATTACAAATGTAAATACCATTCTTTTAGATTTACCTAATTTTAATATCGTAGAAAAGTTTTATTTAGATTATATGTGTTTCGGCTGGCACGCCCAACAAATAACTTATCAGGAGATTGCCAACAGCAGGAATTAA